TTCTCAGGGTCGCGCTGTCTCCTGGCACGGCCGCTCCAGACCCATCGCCATCTTAGAATCTTCTATATTTTTAATTAAAGGAAAAAACTACACAAATATTCAAGCACATTATATGAAATGAAATGAAATAATACAATGAGAGTCAAGTATATTTTCCCTCTTCTAATCCATGTGGGCATGAAATTAATTTGGAATCTAGTTAGTTAAAATATTCACCTGATCCAGTGGAATGAGTTTGGATGATAATTGTGAGTCCTGGATTTTAATCTCGGCCCCAACAAGGATTTATTGTGTGTGACTTGGGTGGTGATTGGGGTTTTTTGAAGTGCTCCATGCACCTGTTAATTTGCAGGTAACAGTGCACACCGTTATATTAAGCTGCAGCCTTTTTCTCACTTACTCCCTTCTGCCTTTCTTTAAGGTCCAGTTGAAAAGTGAAGAATCAAAAACGTTTGCAATGAAGATTCTCAAGAAACGCCACATCGTGGATACAAGACAGCAGGAGCACATCCGCTCGGAGAAGCAGATCATGCAGGGGGCTCATTCCGATTTCATAGTGAGGTAAAGACCCTGCCTGACCCAGGGGCAGAAGTACCCGACTCCAAGTGGCAGATCAGCCACAAAACCCTCTGACACTTGTGCTCACTGTTAACACTTGTCATTTGCACAAAGAAACTTCACTGTTCATCTAGTCTTAAAAATGTTTTGCTTGATTAAAAAAAATAAAATTTTGATTGTGTTCTTTTTATTTTTAAAGAGAATAAGATTCTCTGAAAAAAATGTGTTTTTTTCCCCAAGAGAAGGAATCAGAGTTTCTAGCATTCCATTTTTATCCTCTCTGTTACTCCAAAATATTGTATAGACCTCTGGTGTTTAAAAACAAATACCAAAAATCAAATTTTTTAACTTTTAATTATTTGAATAATTTTTGAAGATTTAAAAAAATAAAATGGTACCTGACTATTTCACCTCAGTATTTTGAGAGCACTAATAAGAGACTAATGGGGAGTTTTATATGTGCAGAAGAAACTTTTGTAGTTAATTTGCCAGGGATACTTGCTGAAAACAGGATGTTACATGAATTTAATTGAACTGTATTAGTTCGTTTTCTGTTGCTTATAACATAATACCTGAAACTGAGTAATTTATAAGAAAATAAAATTTATAGTTTGGAGGCTGTGAATTCCAAGGTCCAGGGGTCACATCATATGAGGGCCTTCTTGGTGGAAACTCTCAGCAGAATCCTGTGGTGATGCAGGAAACCACATAGCAAGGGCTGAGCAAAAGCATTTTCACCTGCTTTCTTGCTCTCCTCATAAAGCCACAATTTTATTCCTTGATAATCTGTTAAACCATTAACCCATTATTCCACGAATGGATTAATTCATTCATGAGGACAGAGTCCTCATGATCCAATCACCTCCCATTTGAAAAGGCTCTATCTTTCAAATACCATGGTTGGATTTTCCACCCTCTTAACACTGTTACAGTGAGGGTCAAGCTTCGGTGAGTTTTTGGGTAACATTCAAACTATAGTATGAATAGCACATGAATTTCATACAAGTCTATATTTGTAAAGTTTAATCTACCTTATATCTATGTACTCTGCATGTTTATGACCACTAAATATTGCCAAATTTGAATTGAAAGAATCCCAAGAAACCCTCTTTGTCTTTAATCATTTGGATTAATCCATTTCAAGGGAGAGACTAACCCCTTAGTCTCTCCTATTAAAATCCTACTAATGTGCCAATGGCTTCTTTCCCTATTTGTGGACTCAGTTCTATCTTATTCTTGTGATAAAATTTCAAACTTGGCGAATCAAGAATAAGACCGTAATATGAGCATGACTCAAAACATTTACGTGCTTTTAAAGGATAATGTTTATAACCTTTGTTTTCTTGTTTGCAATTCACAGACTATACAGAACATTTAAGGACAGTAAATATTTGTATATGTTGATGGAAGCTTGCCTAGGTGGAGAGCTCTGGACCATTCTCAGGGATAGGTAGGTGTATTAGTCATTTCTGTTGCTTGTAACAAAATACCTGGAACTGGGTGATTTATAAGAAAACAAAATTTATTGCTTACAGTTAGAGGCTGAGAAGTCCAAAGTCCAGGGAACACATCTGCTGAGGGTCTTCTTGGTGGTGGCTTTACAGCAATGCCCAGGTCTCACATGGTAGAAAATGGCAGAGCAGAGTGAGAGAGACTCTCGCATACTCTCCTTTTAAAGGCCTGAGAACCTTGCTCCTGACCACCATTATTAACCCATTCACTACAGCATGGTCCTGCAATCTAATCACCTCTTCAAAGCTCCACCTTTCTGTTACCATGATAGTATTTCCCACTCTCAACAGTTACAGTGGGAATTAAGCTTCTAATACATGAACTTTGTAGGACAGAATTCAGTCAATCCACAGCAGTATGAGATTTAAGCAATGTCTATTGTGTCTCTAAACACATAATGGTCTGTAAGAAGAGCCATAATGGTCTGTAACAAGACCATGATGGTCTGTAAGAAGAGTCAGTTAATACAAAGCATAAAATCATATTTACATTTTATATATGTGTATTTCAAAATGTAAAGCAGACATGAGGCTCAACCCTATATGATTTACTGTATGTATAAAACTTACTCTGTAACTTCTGATGCAGCTAAGCCCACCATAAAAATGGTACAGTACCAAAGTATATACACAAGCCTTAGTTTAGCATGAATATTAGAATTAAACAATCTTATAACTTGTATTCGATTTACTGCTTTAACATAAAGAGAATCATTGTAATTTCATAATTACAGTCTGGGTTCACTGTCATTTTAACTGCTGCACCCATTCTCCAGGCGGCCAATCTGTCTTCTCTGACACTGAGAATTTTTTCCGAAGTAACTTTTTCCTCTACCTTTATATTGCTCTCTGGCTTCAAAATGAACAAAATTTTCCAGCCATTTCTTTCAGCTTTAGCTGGTCTTAGAAAAAATGAATTCGCTTATAAGCAGCATTTCATGTAAACAGTCTGATTTAGATTCACCTCTTTTTACCCTTCCAGGGCAGATTAAGTTGGTCTAAGATAGTGCTTGTTTGTTTTTATTATTTATGCAAAACTCACTATCTTAATTTTTCATAATCTCATATTTGTGTAACTAACAAACTATCTTTACAAAAATGTATGCTTTAATATATCCCAGGAGATCATTATCTACCCTAAGTATTTATGCTATTTTCTTTTTTTTTAAAAAAGGCCACTGTTTCTATCATTTCCTATTAATAACCTGCTGATCCTTCAAAAGCTACCTTAGTTCCTTTGATCATTCACCTTTAGACAACTATATTTTTCTTATTTGTTCCAGTCCTGCCCCCAACTCTCCTTCATTGGGTAATATCTTTCTGAAACTTAGCTACAGACAGCCCCAATGTTCCCAGAGAGCTAAGTAACTTTTTGCCATTTGTTACTTTCTAGGTTTTCTTATGGTACTTTCATATCTTTGAACAATATGCCTTCTCAGGTCTTTATCCCCATGGCCTTACTAATGAATTTGTTTTAACCATATTGTAGCCTATTCCATGAATATTTTATTTCTTAAATTTAAGGTAAAAAAATATTCAAGGGATTCATCACTGTGGCACAAGA